CCCCAAATTTAATGAATTTAATGAGGGGAACCTCCCACCAAATTTAATGATGGGAGCCCCCCCGACCTGAATTAATGAGGGGAGAAGCCCCAAACTCAATTAATGAAGGGGGACCCCCCACGACCTCAATTAACGAGGGACCCCCTGAACCCATTCTGAGGGTTCCAGGTCCTGTTTTGGGGCCACCAAAGGGCTCCCATGATGGTGACCCCAAAGAGGTCCCATTTTGGGGTTTTTGGTGCCGTTTTGGTGCTCCCTGGTCCCATTTTGGGCTCCCCAATCCCATTTCGCTGCTCCCGGCACCGTTTCGGTGCTCCCGGCGCTGTTTTGGTGCTCCCTGGTGCCATTTTTGCTGCTCCCCAATCCCATTTTGGTGCTCCCGGCACCGTTCTGGTGCTCCCGGTGCCGTTTTGGTGCTCCCTGATCCCATTTTGGTGCTCCCCAATCCCATTTCGGTGCTCCTGGTGCCATTCTGGTGCTCCTGGCACTGTTCCGGTGCTCCCCAATCCTGTTTTGGTGCTCCCCAATCCCTTTTTGGCACTCCCGGTGCCGTTCCGGTGCTCCCCAATCCCATTTTGGTGCTCCCCAATCCCATTTTGGTGCTCCCGGTGCCGTTTTGGTGCTCCCCGATCCCATTCCGGCACTCCCCAATCCCATTTTGGCGCTCCCGGTGCCGTTTGGCGCTCCCGGTGCCGTTTTGGTACTCCCCAATCCCATTTTGGTGCTCCCCAATCCCATTTTGGCGCTCCCGGTGCCGTTTTGGTGCTCCCCAATCCCATTTTGGTGCTCCCCAATCCCATTTTGGTGCTCCCCAATCCCATTCCAGTGCTCCCCAATCCCATTTTGGTGCTCCCCAATCCCATTTTGGCACTCCCGGTGCCATTTTGGCACTCCCGGTGCCGTTTTGGCGCTCCCGGTGCCGTTTTGGCGCTCCGGTGCCCTGAGCCAGCGCTCCCGCAGGTCCGGGGCTGGGCCCCACGATCCAGCTGGGCGAGCAGACGCTGATCACGGTGGACGCCAAGGCGGCCGGCAAGGGCAAGGTGACGTGCTCGGTGTGCACGCCCGACGGCTCCGAGGTGGACGTGGACGTGGTGGAGAACCCCGACGGCACCTTCGACATCTTCTACACCGCGCCCCAGCCCGGCAAATACGTCATCTGTGTTCGCTTCGGGGGGGAGCACATCCCCAACAGCCCCTTCCAGGTCATGGTGAGTGGAAACGGGGCAAAAATGGGGAGAAACGGGAAAAAACGGGGTGAAAATGGGGTAAAAATGGAAAAAAACGGGATAAAAATGGGAATTATGGGGTGAAAATGGGGTAAAAATGGGAATTATGGGGTGAAAATGGGAATTATGGGGTGAAAATGGGGGATTTGGGGTCATCTGTGTTCGCTTCGGGGGGGAGCACATCCCCAACAGCCCCTTCCAGGTCATGGTGAGTGGAAACGGGGTAAAAACGGGGAGAAACGGGAAAAAACGGGGTGAAAATGGGATAAAAATGGGGGAAAATGGGAAAAACTGGGGAAAAATGGGAAAAATGGGGGGAAAATGAGGGGAAAATGGGGGAAAAGCTGTGGAATTTGGGGTGTCAGTTGGGGCTGGGGGATTTGGGGTGCGCTGACCCTCGGTGCCCCCCAGGCCACGGACCGGCCGCTGCTGGGGGTCAATGGGCTGGACATGGCCGGGCTGCGGCCCTTCGACCTCGTCATCCCCTTCACCATCAAGAAGGGAGAGATCACAGGTGAGCCTCCAAAACAGCCCCAAATGGGTGTAAAAATATCACCAAAACAGCCCTCAAAAATCTTTCAAATCCAGGCCAAAATATCACCAAAACAGCCCTAAAAAATCCCTCAAATCCAGGCCAAAATATCACCAAAACAGCCCTAAAAAATCCCCCAATTCCAGGCCAAAATATCCCAAATACAGCACAAAAAAATCCCTCAAATCCAGGCCAAAATATCACCAAAACAGCCCTAAAAAATCCCTCAAATTCAGGCCAAAATATCACCAAAACAGCCCTAAAAAATCCCTCAAATCCAGGTCAAAATATCACCAAAACAGCCCTAAAAAATCTCTCAAATTCAGGCCAAAATATCCCAAATACAGCACAAAAAAATCCCTCAAATTCAGGCCAAAAAATCCCCCAAATCCAGCCCAAATCCAGCCCCAAAATCCCCCAAATCCAGGCCAAAAATATCCCAAATCCAGCCCTAAAAAATTCCCCAAATCCAACCCCAAATCCAGCCCCAAATCCAGCCCTAAAATACCTCAAATCCCACCCCAAAAATCCCCCAAATCCAGCCCCAAATCCTTCCTTAAGATCGCTCAAATCCAGCTCTAAAATCCCCCAAACCACCCCAAAAATCCCCCAAAATCTCACTAAAATCCCCCCAAAAAATCCCCAAAACCCCCCAAAATCCCCCAAAAAATCCCCAAAACCCCCCAAAATCCCCCAAAATGCCCCAAATCCTCAGGTGAGGTGCGGATGCCCTCGGGCAAAGTGGCCTCTCCGGACATCACGGACAACAAGGACGGGACGGTGACGGTGCGCTTCGCGCCCAGCGAGGCGGGGCTGCACGAGATGGACATCCGCTGTGACTCCATCCCCATCCCTGGTAGGAATTTGGGGGGATTTGGGGAATTTTGGGGGAATTTTTGGGGAATTTTTTGGGAATTTTTTGGGAATTTTTTGGGATTTTTTAGGAATTTTTTGGGATTTTTTAGGATTTTTTTTCGATTTTTTTTCAGATTTTTTTTCAATTTTTTTAGGGGATTTTTTCGTGGGTTTTTTTCAATTTTGGGGGGATTTTTTTGGATTTTTTGGGGGTGGATTTTTAAACTTTCTGAGTATTTTTTTTTATTTTATATTTTTGGAGGAATTTTTGGGGAATTTTTGGGATTTTTTTGGGGTGTTTGGGAGCCCCAGGGGATGGGCCAGGAGTGGGTTTGGGGGAGTTTTGGGGGGGGTTTGGCTGCACGAGATGGACATCCGCTGTGGTGTTTGGGAGCCCCAGGGGATGGGCCAGGAGTGGGTTTGGGGGAGTTTTGGGGGGGGTTTGGCTGCACGAGATGGACATCCGCTGTGACTCCATCCCCATCCCCGGTAGGAATTTGGGGGGATTTGGGGAATTTTGGGGAATTTTTTGGGAATTTTTTGGGAATTTTTTTGGATTTTTTAGGAATTTTTTTCGATTTTTTTTTTAGATTTTTTTTCAATTTTTAGGGGATTTTTTCGTGGTTTTTTTTTCAATTTTGGAGGGATTTTTTTTGATATTTTGGGGGGGATTTTGGGGGGTTTTTTAACTTTCTGAGCAATTTTTTATTTTATATTTTTGGGAGGAATTTTTGGGAATTTTTTTTGGAATATTTTTGGAATTTTTTTAAAAATTTTTTGGTATTTTTGGGGATTTTTTGGGAGGGATTTTGGGGGTGTTTCCCCCCCCAGTTCTGTGTGGGTTTCAGGGGTGACTTTGAGGTGTCAGGGACACCCAGGGGTGGCATTGGGGACATTTTTTGGGGTCCCTGTCCCCATGTGGGATTTGAGGACACCATGGGGGGGTTCAGGACCCCCCGTGCCTTCCCCGTGATCCCCATTTTTGTGCCCCCCCAGTCAGCCCCCCCAGTTCTGGGGTGGCTTTAGGGGGACTTTGAGGACACCCAGGGGTGGCTCTGGGGACGTTTTTTGGGGTCCCTGTCCCCGTGTGGGATTTGGGGACACCATGGGGGGCTCAGGACCCCCCGTGCCCCCCCCGTGACC